AACTAAACACCTGTAAAGTGAACAATAATAAAAAAACATTGACTCAAAGGATCGTGTATAAGGACTGAATAGTTAACTAAACACCTGTAAAGTGAACAATATTAAAAAACAACATTAACTCAATGAATCGTGTATAAGGACCGAATAGTTAACTAAACACATGTAAAGTGAACAATAATAAAAAAAGCATTGACTCAAATGATCGTGTATAAGGACTGAATAGTTAACTAAACACCTGTAAAGTGAACAATAATAAAAAAAACATTGACTCAAAGGATCGTGTATAAGGACTGAATAGTTAACTAAACACCTGTAAAGTGAACAATATTAAAAAACAACATTAACTCAATGAATCGTGTATAAGGACCGAAGAGTTAACTAAAACCTATAAAGTGAACAATAATAAAAAACAACATTGACTCAATAGATCGTGTATAATGACCGAATAGTTAACTAAACACCTATAAAGAGAACATTAATAAAAAAAAACTGATTCAAAGGATAGTGTATAAGGACTGAATAGTTAATTTAACACCTGTAAACTGAACAATAATAAAAAACAACAACATTGACTAAAAGGATCGTGTATAAGGACTGAATAGTTAACTAAACACCTGTAAAGTGAACAATAATAAAAACAACAAAATTGACTAAAAGGATCGTGTATAAGGACTGAATACTTAATTTAACACTTGTAAAGTGAACAATAATAAAAACAACAAAATTGACTCAATGGATCGTGTATAAGGACTGAATAGTTAACTAAACACCTGTAAAGTGAACAATAATAAAAACAACAAAATTGACTCAAAGGATCGTGTATAAGGACCGAATAGTTAACTAAACACCTGTAAAGTGAACAATAATAAAAACAACAAAATTGACTAAAAGGATCGTGTATAAGGATTGAATAGTTAACTAAACACCTGTAAAGTGAACAATAATAAAAACAACAAAATTGACTAAGAGGATCGTGTATAAGGACCGAACACCTAATTTAACACTTGTAAAGTGAACAATAATATAAAACGTGTAGCACAGTTTGTCTTATAAAACACAAACCTCAAATATGAAATATACCGTTGTGCAAAAGTAGACAATACGTAGAATTTAGTGAGTTTCAGAAATAATCAACCGAAAACTCCTTCTCTGGTATTTCTGTGTTGTTTTGAAGTTATTTTGAAGTGACTTTCTTCATAAATTCAGCATTAAAAACAATGCAAATTTTAATTCAAAGCTACTGTTTTTGGTTTTTTTTATCAAGCTATTCACTTCAACGCCAGCACTAACGTACTAGAGGACGAAATGGAACGAGCAATAACTATATTTTTCCGTGGGTTAGAACTTTATGTGAAAGATCAACGAAACCACAATCAAACTCTTACTCACAACTTACACTGTAATGGTGTTGGAGATACTCGATGGAACCATGGAGACACGTTCTTCAGGTGAGTATCTCCTCTACACTTTGTTTTCACAGTGAAACTACAATCAAACTCTTACTTACAACTTACACTGTAATGGTGTTGTAGCTACTCGATGGAACCGTGGACACACGTTTTTCAGGTGAGTATCTCCTCTACACTTTGTTTTCACAGTGAAACCACAATCAGACTCTTACTTACAACTTACACTGTTATGGTGTTGTAGATACTCGATGGAACCGTGGACACATGTTCTTCAGGTGAGTATCTCCTCTACACTTTGTTTTCACAGTGAAACCACAATCAGACTCTTACTTACAACTTACACTGTTATGGTGTTGTAGATACTCGATGGAACCATGGAGACACGTTCTTCAAGAGAGTATCTCCTCTACACTTTGTTTTCACAGTGAAACCACAATCAGACTCTTACTTACAACTTACACTGTAATGGTGTTGTAGATACTCGATGGAACCATGGAGACACGTTTTTCAGGTGAGTATCTCCTCTACACTTTGTTTTCACAGTGAAACCACAATCA